CGGCTACCGAAGAAATCTCAGTACGGCCTCCAAACGGACTCATCCATTCTGCCACTAGAATTCAAGACAGTTGGGGAGCTGCTGTGGCTGCCATCCGCCTCCACCCCGTCACTCTGGTTGGGCAAGTTAGGGTTTAACAGCGTGCTGCCGTTGGACGTGGTGGTGCACGGAGGAAGCATCCTGGAGGGGGAGCGGTCCCCTCCCGGCACCATGGGGAACTGGTATGATCCTGACGAAGTGCCATAGTAGAGATATGGAGTGCTGCTGGTCTGGAAAGGTCCACTTTGGTTTTGGGAAGAGCCGGGGTAGGGTGGTGGTAGGTAGGTGTGGTAGTGAGTGGTTGCGGACATACCCAGTGACATGCCTGAGGTGACTGGCGGTGTATAGGTAAAGGTGGCTGGATAGTGCATTCGTGGGTTGGAGAAGCGGCTCTCAGTGAGGGATGAAATGCTTGTGAACTGCCTGGGATCTGAAAATGGGCCCAGCTCTGAAGCACCTAAAAAATTATAACAAAAGACGGGGGAAAACAATTCTGTAAATACCATTTTTTGTAGCAAGTGATGATAGAATTTTATTTTTCTAAGAAAACCCACTTCTTTTGGCCCCCAAGAGAACAGCAGATCATATCAAATAATACATTGCAAGGAACAGAAGCATACACCTGTCTTCTACAAGCGCTGGGCCAAACTCATCCCTGGTCTAACTCCACCGATGCCAATGGAGGGAGCAGCATTGCCAACCTGAAGCCTTCAAAGGTCATAAGTCAGGCCGGAAAAAAAAAAAACATCTCAAAAATCAAGACATTGAAAAAGAGCCAAAAAGAGAAAGGTGGATTTGAAGTTGATTTGCCTTCTGGTTTCTGAGCTTTAAGGGTTACGTGTCTCTGGGTTTTTGCTATAGCCTTTTGAGAAACTCAGGTCTGGTTGCACATGAAAGCTGAGATTCCCACCTCAGCACATGCCGTAGGGAGCTGGTGTTTCAAGAAAAGCAGAAATTACCGTGCAACTTGTAATAAAACTACAAGAGTTGGCAACACCGAGTTAGTTGCACCACTGACACCAGGGGAGTTACACTGGGGGTGACCAAGCCCCACTTCTTGCCTTAAATCAATTTATTTAGGTGACAATCTGCTCAGCTCCTTCCTATGGCCGAAAAATATTATTTGCTGCATCCGAAGGATGGGCAAAGCCACTGAGCTGATAGCAAAGATGCAAATTTTACTTTTCAGTGCAGTCGATGGAAAATTACAAGCCCAACACTCTTCTTGCCATTGAAAGAAGTTGTTTTCCTATGTAGTCTGTGCAGTCTGGTTGAAAAAAAGACCGCACAGTTTATGGCTACTGTGAACGTCTGGATGGTAACGCTGTGAATTGGAGTCTAACGCAAAACAGGGATGGGTAAACTCATTTTGCCTAATTTCTAATCCCACATCAAAAGCCCAAAGTTTTGGAGCAGAACTGGAAAGCAAACGTTAGTAGCTTGGTGATCTGCTTAGGAGACTGTGGGATGGACAGGAGCAAAAGAAAAAGATGGCGAAAGCTCGCACTGAGAGCCAGAAAAGTGGAAAACAAAAAGGGTGTGGGAAAAGGGACGGGGCGGGAAAGAGAAAGCCTAATGAAGAAGTACAGTGCAAGAGGGAGGGAAATACATCGGCCAGTATGCAGTAGATACATACATACATTTTTATAGAGAGTGAGCTGGAAAGAGCAGGGTATAAATAAAGGGGAAAAATAATGAAATAAAATGGGCTCTCCCTGCACTTCCCAGCCGACACTTCTACAGCTTTACAGTCCTCTAGATCCAAGGGTTCACCCATCTCTTTGCCAAGCTACCCGATCTGATTTACCTAAAAGGAAAATATGGCATCTTCTAGATGCCAGACTGACGTACTAACACCCTGTGTATCCTCCACGTAAGATGCAGCAATGCTTTTCCTTGTAGATGGGCTTTGGATCTGACCTGCCGACACTGCTGTGTAGAAGCAAGGTCCCTCCAGCCCTTCTGCCCTTGGCCCCCTATAGCACCCACAATGGTGGTTGCTACCATAAGCCACAGACTCAACAGACCCTGCCACCTTGTGTGGCACAGTTTGTGATTTAGATCACTATTCTCTCCTGTTCTACCAGCTCATTTAACCCACGCCTTCAATATAGAATCAGACAATACCTAAAAGGGGCAGGGGAGCAAAGCTCAGGCACAGCTTGGGTTCAGGCTGGAGGACCTGGGCCACAGGCAGCCAAGTGTCCAACTCACACAACCTGAAACCCGGAGATTATAATCCGCTGTCTCAAAAGATACTGAGTACAGAGCTTTAAATGGGCAGTAAGAGCCCATTTTTAACTCTGATGACAATGTGATTACTATTATCTTTATCTGGAACCGAATCAGTGACCTACGGGTGAATGGGTCTGTCTCCATCATCAACCCCTCCAACCACAGCACCGTGGAATGTAATATAACTTGTACCTTTACAGCAAACACTCTACTACTTGATGCAACTTCTTTCGTTCCCAACTGCAAACAATAGCCAGAGGCGATACCACCCAGATTCAAAGCTGTAATTTTGGAACACTATCCTTTATATTGTGAACAGGTCTGATACGTATCTGGAAGTATAAGGTTAGAACATAATTTCCCCAGCTGCTCAAAATACTGAGTTTCAATCTGCTACCGCTTATACTCCTTTTTTGTTTTTTCATTGTTATTGCAACTCTCCCAACATGAACAGAGTTGCTCTTAGTTTACCCTGATAGAAGCTAAACAAGACTCTTATAATCAAAGGTAGAACTGGTACGAGTGTAAAGGTGTAGAAGAACATCGGCATTTTTGGTTTCTTTACAACCAATGCCTTTTTTTTTTTTTATAACAAGCTTTCCACACAGGTTTACACATTAAAAGGCAATCTCCCTTTCAGGGCTAGATCCAAATATTATCTGTATGGGTGCTGCCAAGCGATCATGTATGTGTTGAATGACTGGGAATGTGCACACCACACGTAGGCATTTCTAATGTGGGGCTACAGATCTCCTTACATACCCTAGTAAATCCATACTTGTTTGTTTTTACTGTTGCTTGTAAAGTACAATCCTATTTACCCAAAGGCCAAATAACCATAACCCTTTCTTATCTCACTCATGGCTCTGTCTGCATGGCTCCTGCACACGCACTTCTCCAACCCTCCTTTTGCCCAAATACCTTTTGCTGTCTCCCTGACTCCCTGCACTAGGTTGCAATTTGTTCCCAGCCTTCTGTATCTCCATTGTGCAAAGGTATTTTTGGAGATCAGAAACAGTTTTCTGTGATGCCTGTTCTAAAGCCTCTTTTCTAAGCGAGACCAGAAACCTTTTAAAAAATCGCCTCTAAAATTCAGCTTCTTGCCATCCTCACTGCTATGCAATCTCACTGATGCATTTTGACCCTCTTCCTCCTACTCTCTCTGTGCTACCTCCTTGTGTTAAGGTTGATTTTGGTTCTAACTTGCAAACACCAGATGCATATTCATCTATGGATGTTTAGCTCTTTGCTGGACTGGGAAGCTAAATAGCTCGTCTGGGTATTGGCACTCATCTTTGTATATCTAGTTGCGCACAAATAGTGATGTCGATCAGCAATATAGTAACATGACAGTGCAAGTAAATAATTTATTTATTCATCTCCCCAGAAGGATTAAAGATTTATGCTAATTTTTCCTCCGTCAGAGCGAGAAAACAATTTGCATCTGTGAATTCCCACTCTCGTGATAGCTTGTATTAAATGGGTGAAGCACAGATCCTCCACCCTACATTGTGGCCACATGATTGCGAAACCACACTTCTGTAAAGAGAAGAGACTTTATTTTGTGCCGCCAGAAAGAGAAACACGGCAACAAGCACAGCAAGTGACCTTCTTTCGCCACACAGTCTGATCATCTCACCGTGCTTGACAATACAAAAAAAAAAAAGTATATTTAAAAAAAAAACACCTTTACATCTGAAGGAGCCCAGGTTAAACTGTTTTTAAATCTTCCAAGCCGATTCTTCCCTAATGTAACTTGGCACTCAAGTTTTCTGAGAGCTATACGTTCAGACCAGAGAAGTGGTAATGTTAATATGCCAATATATATGCTAACATCCTAGATTCAAGAATACTGCTCCAGTGTGTTTCATATTTAGAATAAGAACAATTAAAATTCCATGTGGTTTCACTTATTTTGATGCAGAAGCCTCATTAAAAACCCTAGACTTGGGCATTTGCCAGCAGCCGACTAAAATGGTTTTGCATTTGCGCTTAAAAACCAATTTTACCTGTTGCAGATTTGCAGCTCTACTGTTTACAGCTGAATGCCTACCGTGGTCATTTCTCTTTTTCGGTTTACAGATGCCAGCTAATGCCAGTTAATGTTCGTTTCTCAATTAATAAGCTGTGCTTGTGGTTTGCAGAAAATAAGGCAACAAATTTCTGCCAGGTTTACAGCACTTTGGCCAATCGCTTCCCATTATTAAAGATCATAACGTACTGTGGATAGATTAACTCCTTGTGGGTATAGCAGGCTGACATCTACTTTAAAGGGTTATAGGATAATTTTATAACTTACAAATATTGCAATTTGCTTTGTCATTTTATGCTATAAGGTCACTACCGAAAAAAAAGGTCCCCTTGGCTTACTGCATATGTCTGATCGGGAAATTTCTAGCACATCAAGCCAGTGCATAATCACTGGATGCAAGAAAACAGAGTGGTGCTGTATTCGAAAGTCACTGAGTAGTCTGTCTCACGGAAATTCAGCTACATATAGTTAAATATATTTACCAGTAGCTAAATGATTCACTTGTGTTTTGGGGAACTTCAGTGTTAAGACGTTCGCTGAAGCAGATACTAGATTTTGTGGTTTTTTGTTCAATAGTTCAATTCAGGCTGGGACGTAGCACTAATTGATCTATTAAATTTGTTTTTTCCTTCCCTAACATCTACGTCTATGAATTATATGTGCAGCTTGGATTACTTACAGCTGATAATATTGCCTCGTATGAAGTATGCCACACACTTCACATGATGAGACGATTTTCAGTCTCTTACAGCTTTGCCAAACTTCAAATGTTCTGGCTGAAATTGTCCATGCTGGGCGTCTGTCTCAGGCTAAATTGTGATTTATGCATTTATTTGTTTTTAAAATTTCAGCTGAAACTCTTCTGCTGGGAAAAATATATTGTTTTACTAATCTTAAACTCTGAGGAGCCTGCCTTTGAAAAGCTGTACCAGTTCCACGCTTTGAAGTAAGGACTTGAACTTTGGAATAGGAGTGGCTTTTGTGTGAGAGACGTTGCCATGAAAATCCAGCCAAATATGAACAAATCATAAGCATTCTGCCTAAAAATGGGCAGAAGAGTCAGTGCCCCTACAAAGACACTTGTCCAGAGACTGGAATGAAATCCAGGAGTCCCAAGTCCCAGCATTTTTTGAAATGTCTGCAAATATTGCTGAAACACTGGGACATCCCCGCCCATCCCCGTGCCCGTC